GTTACGCCCGGTTCTGAAACACTGATCATCGTAGAAATTAACTAATTAGCTGTCAAACGGCTTTTCAAATGTTATTTGAGTTGCTAAAAGGATTTTTAATTTTTTTTAGTGCTTATCTCTGTACTTAAGATTAAACATTAAAATTTGTAGAAAAAGTACGAAAAGTTTGTCGCCGCTGTGGGAATCCAACCCAAGTTTTCGGCATATGCGGCCTGACGGTTAAACTCTTTGAATTTATCAGAATGATCTTCCTAATGATTAGTTCAAAGAGTTTAAATATCTTTTTGGAAACTCGAATGACATTTGGAAAGCCATTTGACAACTGATTAGTTAATTTCTACGATGATCAGTGTTTCAGAAACCGAGCGTTAGACAATAACAACGGTCGTGTGCTAACGAACGATTCATAAAACTACACACAATGTCCACAATTCAAACATCCTTTCGTCGTTATTGGTATTTATAAATTAACAGGTAATTTAACGTTTTGTAAGTCTTTAGTCTGTAAAATAGAACGTCTAATTGAATTGTGCATCATTTTTTATTAAATTTTTTGTTAAATTTATTCTTTATTCTTATGTGCGTCCTTTTTGTTGGAAACTACATTTCTTCTCTTTCTTTGTTTAAATTATTTTAAAAAAATGGGAATCTGTTATTGAATGTGCCGATGATTCGAAGACAAATGGATAAATAAATAAATAAAGGCGTCTCAGCTCAGGCTTCCTCCGGTCATATGGAAGAAGTTTTTCCCGTGATCCCAGTGCGGATTAGATATTTACCAAGCGGAGACTCGAAGTGCTAATTGAGATCACATTGTGCGACCTCTAATAGTGAATATCAATATCAGTAACACGTATGACGTGCTACATAACACGCGTGCTCCGGGTACAAATATGAAACGGCGATTTTTGCACGCGACAACACTAAGCAGGAAATCTCACCGGTGCACGCCACATGACCGCAACCGCTTGCCAACTTTATAACCTTTTATGTAAACTCTTATAAGTTAACTTCATTTATAATTAATTTTGAGACAGCCAATAGACCTGCGATCGCTTCGATGTGCAAGAAGACGCAGATTAATGAATGCAAGATCCAGGGCCGGATTTAGAAGAGGACAATCGGGGCAACAGCCCCGGGGCCTCCACAGATGAGGGGCCAACAATCAAATTCATCATAAAAGTATGAAATTCAGACTAGTAAACAATAGTAAACAACCTTTCCTATCATATCTTTTTTCGCGGTTTACTTTTACCTGCTGTACTTTGTACAAACTAAATATTAACAGAAATCAATAGAAAATAATTTGGGGCCTAAGTCCCTCCACTCCTTTGTTGCCCTGAGGCCTCGAGGCCTCTAAATCTGGCCCTGGCAAGATCTAGTATAGTGTCTGGTAGTATTAATTATTCGGATCATTTAGATTTATTTAAAAATGAACGGAATGGTGTTACATTACTTATTATAAAAATCTGCCATCAATAATACATATACAAATAAAAGTCAAATAGAAAAGCAACAGGTTTCTATTCTTGACTTAGAAGTATGCCGATTCTCTACTCTCTCTTATGCAAACATAATAAGCATAACATTTTGTCAAGTCAATAAATTGACTTATGTAATTAGAGGAAGCTACAATTATTAGTACAAATTTAATTAAAGCTAAAAATTATTAATGGGCTATTTAAAGGGATACCTGCAAGGTACTGCGGTTACAGCACATCTTAGAAATGTCCCTCCTGAAACATTTAGTTTTCTACGAGATATTTTACTGATACACTGAAATTATGTTTAGCATTTGAACACCTCCGGGTAGTGAGGATCATAAAAATGGGTTTCTGCCTCCACCTTAACCATGAAACAGCGTACGTATAAGCAGCAGCAGTAAAAATAAAAAATATTTTAGCCCACATTTTACACAAGTTTGCTAGTCCCAAACAAAGCAACGCTTGTACTATGAGTACTAGATAACAGATAAACATACTTTTCTTTTGTAAATAAATACATATGTACATATAAACACCCAGACTCTGGAATAACACTAGCCACCAGTGGTGGGGATCAAACCCACACCCTCTGGAGCAGGAACCCACACCCTCAGGCGTCAGGAGAGGCAGGTGCACTGCCCACTACGCCAATCGGGTCGCACGAACAGCCTTAGTCGGTCTACAGCCTCTTCGAAATACAAGCGCATCTCTTGCGGGCCCGAGATGATCCCTTTCACCACTCTCACTGGCATTTATATATTTCGAAAGCAAACTCCATCGCATTATTACAGTGCAATGGCCACTGAACTTGGCCAACGCTCCTCAGACATCTCGAATAATGGACGCACTTGAGTGTCTTAAGTGAAATCTTAAGAGAGATTCCGTCTCGAGTTCAAATGTTCAGAATCGAATCCAAAACCCATTTTATTCTGATCGTAATGGTTCTACTCTATACTAGTGTTCGCCAAGTGGTCGATATTCATAAGAAATAATTATTTAAAGTTTAAGTAAAGTATATGTGTATTTATATATTTACACACTATTTCTACTCTTACACACACTAATATTGTATGTGCACTTAGATCATACACTTTATTTGTACTTAAAATACAAAATAATTCAGTACCATAATAAAGACAGAGAAAAAAAAATTCTTCACAAATAAAATAAAATTTCAATAAAATAATTTAACAAATAGGGAATGAAAAGGCACTGAACTGTTTTATCTTTATCTATTTATAAATCAATTTATTATTTTTCACATTTATACGGTACTAGCGACACACGACAGCACGGGTGCAATGTATTATATATACATATAAACTTTCCTCTTGAATCATTCTATCTAGTAAAAAAAACCGCATCAAGATCCGTTGCGTAGTTTTAAAGATCTAAGCATACATAGGGACTGACGGACAGCAGGACGACTTTGTTTTATACTATTTAATAATAAAATGTACTTTTTTAGATAAAAAGATAGTAGACTAAAAAATATGGATGACGTCATAGTTTGTTTAATGCATTAATGAACTGGTTTCATAATTATTGAATGTGTAGTGGATCTCACTTTTACATATTTTAATTTTAAAATTATTTCATAGAGCCTTTAAAAAGCAGTATTACTCTCAAACGTAACGCCATCTAAATCTTGTATAGTTATAACAATAAAAGTGGAAAAGCTAAATAAGAGCATAACAAATATAATGTCCTACATTACCAAGTGATAATTTGCCATGTACAGTTTCACCGGACACACGGGCCGCGAAATGCTAACGTTTTCGCGTGGTGGATAAAATCGAAACGTTTATTTAAAGCACTCGCTATGTCCACATGAGTGTATTCGAGAGTTGGCTATGTGTAGGCGAAGCTGGTTATAGATCTTAACTCTTCGTGGTTTGTTCTATAGCTCGAAACAATAAAGACAATGAAACGCGATCGTAAGTCTCCTGGTATACTACACGGTGCTATATTTTACTGAGTGTATTTAAGTGAGAAGGTGGCAAGCCAAGCCGGCGTTCACCTGAAATGACAACCACCGCTCATGGACATTTGCAACACCAGTAGGGTTGCACATGCGGTACCACCTTTTAACAAAGTGGGCTCCGGTTACTTCACGCTGTTCTTGTGAGGTCGTGATACGTCCCCGGACGGACCTGCCCATTCGTGCAACGGAGAAGACTGTCACGTGGCCCTAACACAGTAGGTCGATGTAGGACGGGTCTGGCAGGTTAATGTATACAAGTCGAGAGCGCAATATTTCGCAAGGACAGATGCAAAAGACCGTTGCTTATAGATCGGTAGCCGCAGTGCGGTACTGTCGGCTCTTGGGCAGTGGGCCGGAACCAACATGTCTGGCCGGGGCAACGGTGTGCACCGAAAACAGTTGAAATTGTATGCAATGCACTAAACGTCTGCAGCCTTTACTCGGACATATTTAAACGGAATGTTTCGTACAATATTAATCAACACGAAATACAATATAAATATTATCGAAACCCAACCAGAGACGAAATTGAATCGATAACCATGAAATGAAATGGAGAAGAACTTGAGAATATTAAATGGTTTACGTAAAATTACTGTAAATTGAATTCAAAGTTACAGCGGCTTAAATAAGAGCAAGCGGATTAAATAAGAATTTGGTAGAATGGTAAACCAATTCCAAATACGGCAGTGTCTGTCGAACAAAACTTGGCAGTGGTCGAAATGTATACGGTTACGTACGTACGTTTTTACATACAAAGAAGGAACTAGTTAAAGATCCTTATAAAGTGTTGTCTAGTCAGAGTAAGCATTTTAATTAGACGACAAATGATACAATGAAATAATGCCTTATAAATATATTTTTGTTGGAATGTCTTAACGTAATTTACATAACACGAATGACGTCAAAGCTATATTTACACGGAGAATCTATAAAACTGCTCATGTTCTTTGTTTAGCTGCTCTTTAACTTTTAAATCTTTATAACATTTTATGTGACTTTTTGTGGTAGAATATAGCAAGGAAACAGGAGGTTTACATAATTTTTTATGCAAGGTTCACCTAATTAAAATTAAGTGATAACCGCATTACATGGACATTTGCAACACTGGTAGGGTTGCAGATGCGTTGCTACCTTTTAATAAAGTGGGTAAAACTTTACCTAACTCACCAGAAGAAACGCAGAAGTATGACTTTTCCACTTCGCTCAGGTTTTCTGTGCGAACCGAGTTACTTCATACGAGCCTGGCCATTCGTGCAACAAGTATATATATTATATTAATAAAATTTGCAAATGTTAATTTTATTCCTTTGTCACAGAGTAAAAAACCATTAGTTCTATATATCTTTGGACCCAAAGTATTGTAAAATTATTTTCATACTACTTCATTATGACGCCTCACTTCTCTTCTCGTCACGTATCCTTAAACCTACCAACAACTCGTAGTATCATAAAGGAGATGTAGGACCCACTCCACTGAACCCTGACAATAAATTCGAAAAAGACGCAAAAACTTTTAAAAGTAAGCTTACCTAAAGGCCAGCACTTCCACGTTGGGCATCCGTCGAAGTAGGCTGATATCCACGAGCTCCGCGCCCCTGCGAATAAAAGAACACCAACATTTAATAACCCATGAAATAGTTTAAAATTGCATTCCATACAACGCGCCTTACTCCCCTTGCCCTCTAATGCCAACAATTCTACTTTGTCCATGGGATATACAAAATACAACACAGCCTGATACATTTCAAAGGTAATTGCACAATAATACGGCACAAACTGCAGTCACATTTTCAAAACAAACTGCACTTACATTTGCAAAATTAACGGGTCTTAATAGGCACGTAAGTAAATTACAGTTACAGAATTAAAGGTTCACAGTAATCACAAAAAAAGATGTGCACATAATTTTTAAAAAGGCAGATCTTTGTACTTGAAAGACAAATAAAGCGGACCCTGTCAGAAATTTAAGATGCGGGAAATTTTGTGTACGCTAGAATAAAGATCATATCATCTGGATGCGATGACGTAAGTAATTCGCCACATGGTTCGACTCTCTTCACGGTTGGTACCAACGGGAGATGGCACTTACAATGGATCGCTACTCGTCAGTCTTACATACGGTACAACGTTTCGTCGCAGCAATTATACGAACCGGAGAGTGCTACGGACGAGGCACGCCAAGGTCGCTCGGCGTCCGAGTCTGTCAGCCATCAGAAACGCGTGCGCTGCCGATGTGCGTGCTACTAGGCCGTTAAGTCGAAGCGTGGGGACTCTTACGCGTGGTTAGCAACGGACCCGCGAAAAGGCAAAGATATAAAAGATAAAGAAGCAAATGAAAACGCTCGAAAAAGCAAAGAGACATACAGACGGCCGTAGAGCAACGGACTAGACATCGTTGTTTACTTTTTAAAAGATAAAGAAGCAAATGAAAACGCTCGAAAAAGCAAAGAGACATACAGACGGCCGCAGAACAGCGGACTAAACATCATTGTTTACTTTTAAAGATAAAGAAGCAAAATTAAAACGCACGAAAAGGCGAAAAGGCAAAAAGACATACAGACGGCCGCAGAGCAGCGGGCTAGACATCGTTGTTTACTTTTTAAAAGATAAAGAAGCAAATGAAAACGCTCGAAAAGGCAAAGAGACATACAGACGGCCGCAGAGCAGCGAGCTAGACATCGTTGTTTACTTTTTAAAAGATAAAGAAGCAAATGAAAACGCTCGAAAAAGCAAAGAGACATACAGACGGCCGCAGAGCAGCGGACTAGACATCGTTGTTTACTTTTTAAAAGATAAAGAAGCAAATGAAAACGCTCGAAAAAGCAAAGAGACATACAGACGGCCGCAGAGCAGCGGACCAGACATCGTTGTTTACTTTTTAAAAGATAAAGAAGCAAATGAAAACGCTCGAAAAAGCAAAGAGACATACAGACGGCCGCAGAACAGCGGACTAGACATCATTGTTTACTTTGTAAAGATAAAGAAGCAAATTAAAACGCACGAAAAGGCAAAGAGACATACAGACGGCCGCAGAGCAGCGAGCTAGACATCGTTGTTTACTTTTTAAAAGATAAAGAAGCAAATGAAAACGCTCGAAAAAGCAAAGAGACATACAGACGGCCGCAGAACAGCGGACTAGACATCATTGTTTACTTTGTAAAGATAAAGAAGCAAATTAAAACGCACAAAAAAGAAGCAAATGAAAACGCTCGAAAAAGCAGAGACATACAGACGGCCGCAGAACAGCGGACTAGACATCATTGTTTACTTTGTAAAGATAAGCAAATAAAAACGCACGAAAAGGCAAAGAGACATACAGACGGCCGCAGAGCAGCGGACTAGACATCATTGTTTTACTTTTTGTAAAGATTAAGAAGCAAATTGAAAACGCTCGAAAAAAGCAAAGAGACATACAGACGGCCGCAGAGCAGCGAGCTAGACATCGTTGTTTTACTTTTTAAAAAAAAAAAAAGAAAATGAAAACGCACGAAAAAGCAAAGAGACATACAGACGGCCGCAGAACAGCGGACTAAACATCATTGTTTACTTTTAAAGATAAAGAAGCAAAATTAAAACGCACGAAAAGGCAAAGAGACATACAGACGGCCGCAGAGCAGCGGACTAGACATCGTTGTTTACTTTTTAAAAGATAAAGAGGCCAACGAAAACGAAACACCCGATGTGAAATGATCTCCGCCGTCTACGCGCGGTGTTTTATTCGCATTGCCAACCGATTCGCATATAAAATACCTCTACAACGGAGAATATATCAGGTCAGGTATCTGACGTACCTAAGACGTGCAGACGAGACTATCGTCTTGAAAATTATTTTCGCCGCTGCGAGAGTACAAATCTGCGCCTACCGTACTGTGATGCAGTTGCTCTAGCCACTAAGCAGCTAGCTAAGCGGTCGACATCTTCACCGCTAGAAAATCGACATCTTGTCTATTTTGTTCTTAATGCATATTCAAACAATGCAGCATTGACAAAGCTTGACATTATCTAATATGTTTCCTTTACAACAAACATTCTGAAATTATTAGAATATTTCACAACTTTGGGATAGTTTTATCTCCACATTTTTTTCTCAGTTTACCTAAATGACATGACTAGCAATAAAATTAAAAATCAAACCCGACGCACGTGTTTAAAGGAAACACAAAACACAACAGACGCGTGCAGACAATAACAACTTGTCATTCGTTATGCCACGTGGTGTTTGATAACAGAGCAATTATTATATCCACGTTGCGCGGGAGCTATACGCCGTCGGAATATATTAAGGAATGTTTGGATTCGGACCGCGTCGGCCTATACAACTCTCGGTAACAAGCGCGCTCGACATTACCATGTGTATGGATGAGTTTCTTCATTCGGACACTCAGCGATAATGTTTTCGACAGCTGTTAACAAATTTAATGCAACGGCGGTTGAATGTATCTAATAAAATACGGGACATCCGTAATCTGCGATGAACGTTTGTGATGCACGATCAGCGGATCGTGTATCACAAAGTTTTATTCCGTGTAAAGATTGAACCCACAACGCCTGTTTTCAGTTAGCGAGGTGATTGCTTTACCGCACGGTTGAACAAAATACAAAGTTTAAACCAATTATGTTCATTATTAGCCTCTCATTGTTATCCTCTGTATAGAGGAGGCCTTTGCCCAGCAGTGGGACATGTATAGGCTGCTACTTTACTTTTATGTTCATTATTATAAGTTATTCATTCCCCACTGCTGGGCAAAGGCCTCCGCTCCACTCCCGAGCCCGACTCAAACTTTATCATGGTCGCGGCGAACCAAGGGTTTTTAAGTAGGAGACCTTTTCCCATTTCTAAAATTATTTCAATAAGGTGTTATATATTTAAAATTTATGAAGTTCGGAATTTTGGATTATGGAAAAAATTGTGAGGGTAAAATTTTACCGACGCGTGCACACCGACCCTCAAAAAGCGACATGTTGCGAAGGAACCAACTTCACGGCCATGGCTCAAACAACTTTTTGACATGTTACCCTTAACGAAGGAACCAACAAATTCATTTAGATAAACCAGTATCGGCATTTACCATGGCAACCAATAACAACTTTTTGATATTTACCCTTAACTCCCTACTTAACTACTACTTACAAATCAGTTATTTAGATAAACCAGTATCGATTTCATTTAATGTGTTTACGCTAAAGGTCCCACAGTAGTATAACTTTTACGCGTTGGATGCAGGCCGTAACGACCGGTACATAAGAAATAAGCCTATGTTTCACACACGGCTGATATGATAATGATGATGATTTTTTTTTTAGTTGTCTTGTTTTTCATATTTATAAATTTTTTTTTGATGTTTAAAATCAATTCCTAGTACAACTATACAGATTTTGATGCATGTACGGGACATTGGCCGCAAGGAGCAACTATTTTTTTTTCAACATATCGTTATACAATTACTCTTTTTTAAGAAAAGGCGTTACACCGTCAAGTATGTATTTATCATTAACTTCATATCTTAATGGTCTGCCAAAGAATTACGGATATAGATCGATTTTCTCTAAGATGAACGATTTTGGTGTAGATTTAGATCCGTCTCTAAAATTTGTCAGCTCTAGCATGGCACTCGTAAATAAAAAAGCGCACAAAAGTTTCGAAGAAAATGGCGGTAAAACTGGACCCTTACCGGAAAATTGGATAGCTACCGTATTAAAGGAATTGTTAGTCGTAAAATTTAAATCATAAACTCTTTGGAATTCATTTTACATATACATACAATACGTAAACGTAAAGATGTCAACGAGTGACTAGTTATATATGTTGATAAAATGTTTCACATATTATCACATCTTCCCTAAAAAGGAAAAATCGAGGTTTGCTTTGACTTAGAGCAATATCCAGTTCGTAATAAAAAAGGCTTCCAGCGAGGCTTGTCGGTCACAAGATTAGTGTTTTTTTATGGATAAAAGGGGCAAACGTGTGGGATGCTCACCTGATGGTAAGTGTCCACTGAGAACGATAAAATAACATTAATCTCGATCATTTTCCCATGAGATCGATATGTGACGATTGATTATTTATTTATATATATATACCAAAGTTCAATGCGTGAAAAAATAAATTGAAATTAACACTACAAATCGTAAAATTACAAACGTGTATATTAACAAAAAAAAAACGAGAAAACTGCTGTTGGCTCGGATATTGCACAATATTTGAGTGAATGAATGTAACTGTTATAGAAATATTTTATATTAAACAAAAAAAATGTCGCCAAGCATTTGAAATGTCAGGAATATGAGTTTGGATCAAACACGATAAAATCCCTTAAAAATTGTTTCATTAAAACAAATGAAATGACAAAAATTATGCAGTATAATTATACTTGCCACTTTATTGGAACTTGAAATCTTGTAACAGCAGCTGGCAATTGAAATTTGAATTTTTATACAAAAACGTATATTATTGCCGCTATCCGATGATATACTCTTCGGCTTTATGCTGTTGTGAAAAAACAATGATTACCACACTTTATCCAATTATGGCAATAAAATGTTAATCATATTATCCAATTCGTTTTAATATTCATCTTTTCGACCAATCGCGGCG